CTGGGACTGCTTTTGTTCTTTTAAATAGTCCATTCTATTTTGGCAGATCATTTCTGCCTTCTTTTTGAACAGCACAGTTTCCATAGGAAACTCACAATGAACTAGCCATTCACAAATGGAAGGGAGTGGCGGGCAATATAAATATGTCTTTTGCTACTAGGGTTTTGCCTGTCCCAGGCTTTGTGAGTTTCTCATGCTTGTGTCCAACTTAACTGCCTCCCAGCAGGTCCAGCATGAAGTCCTTTGTTGCCCTACATATTTTCTCAAAGATCTTTTATTAACTTTTTCTTTTCTGCTCTATTTTTCTCCCTCTTACCTACAGCTCTGTAACAATAGTGAGAAAGGAAAACATTACCCCAGTGGTGTGGTCAGGGAGAGTGACAACTGAGTTTCTCTCCCTTATGAAAAAAGAGAGAGAGATAATTTTTTGTCTTTGTCATTTTCTCTACAGGACTTTAAATATTTGTTGAAAGGTCAAATACAGTGATTGAAAATAACCAGTTTTCTCTAATAAAATCTCTCCTTGTGAACTTTAGCTTAGCGAAGGCAAGTTTTCTTTTTATTAATTAGTCAACTCATGATATTTTTTAAAAAATTAAGACAAGGAGACACAAGAGGATTATCATTTTTTTTTTTTATAATTAGGAATGATTTCTGTAACTTTTAAATGAAGTAGTCTGCTCTTGTGAGAGACTGCTAGTTGTCAGGGTTTGCCCCATCTTTCTTGCTAATGTTGTTGGTAGGTGATGTTGGATTGGCTCCAGATTGATGGCAACGGCTTGCACAGTGGAGCAAAACACTGCCCAGCCCTACTGGGTCTCCATGATTGGTATGGATTGGACCGTTGTGATCCATGAGGTCTTTATTGGCTAATTTTTCAGAAGTAGATCACCAGGCCTTTCTTCCTAGTCTGTCTTAGTCTGGGAACTCTGCTGAAACTGGTCTAGCATCATAGCACACAAGCCTCCCCTGACAGACAGGTGATGGCTGTATATGAGGTCTGTTGGTTGGGAAGTGAATCCAGGTCTACCGCACCAGTGGGTAAGAATTCTCCCACTGAACCACCAATCTCCCCAATTCTTGCTTATAAAGCCCATAATTTTTAGGGTGCACATGGCCATCTGGGATATAGACTAGATTTTTAGCCTCCCTTGTAGCTAGGCATGACTATGTTATAAATTTGTATTAATTCACTGTAAGTGGAAGTGTTGTGTGCAATTTCTTGGCAGCTTCCTAAAAGAAGTCTTTTTTATCCTTTCCTTCCTCTTGATGGCAAGGCACACGTGTTGGCTAAAGTTGAGTTCCTGCAGTCATCTTGGACCATGAGTTGAGCTCTTGGGGACTCCCCCCCCCCCCCCCCGTGTAAGTCCATAGATCTCAGAGATAGGGGAATGCTTTATTTGAGGAAAGGAAAATCATAACTCTTACAAATAAAGTGTGAAATACTCTGCCATGTTAAGACATCTGTCATCTTAAACATCATGGTGAAGCCACCCTAGCGATTCTTTTACAAACCACAAAAACATTGCTGTCCTTCCCTTTTGTCTTCCTTGTCCCCCTTCTCTAATAATTCAGCCCTAAAGCCATTATGTGATACAGAGGAAAATAGATAGTTCTGGGTGTGAGAGGGAGCATGGTGGCCTAGAGTAATGTGTCAGAACCTGAGTGCAGTAGGGTAAACATCTTTGCAGGGTGGGGGTTAGCCTAGCATGGGAAATTGGAGTCCAAGCAGGGGATGGGCGAGTCCCTGTGGAAGGTGACTGGGCACGAGATGTCAGAATCTGAGCAGAGTGAGAAGAGTATCTGTGTAAGAGGAAAGGGTAGAAGTGAAGAGAAGAGATAGGGTTACTGCAGTGGTTACACAGGTTGGACATTTGAAAGGACTAGCAGGATTCTGCAGAGTATATTCATGTGTAAGGACTTAATAAACACAAAGACTGTGGTACAGCCAGAGAAGGAAAGCACAAGCAAGCCTCAGAGCTCATGACATTTATTGGTGCAGCTTCCCAAGTTTCTTTCTTGTTGGACCAGACACATTTCGTTTCCAGATTATGAACCATCAACATATATGCAAGCAATCCTGTTTTTAGGAGAGCTTGAGCAAGTTTCCAACAGTGTCTTTTATGCCCTAGCTGGTCATGGAGTTGGTGTGTGTAACCAGTGTAAGTCACTATCTCTAAAGAATTTAAACAAGCTGGCCCTGTGAGCCACCACTGGTGTTCTGAAATTTAAACAGGCCATTATAAATTTCTAGCAAGCCTACTTGTCCTAATTTTAATCAAAGGTCAGTATTAGACTTCTGGGTGTCACTGTTGATAAGTGGAGAGCTTTTTCAATCCAACCATAAGATAACTATTTACAGGGGTATTGATTAAATAAATAAATAGTTTAAAGATAATAGAAGCCAGAGTTCTCAATAGTAGAAACGGGAGTTATAAATACAGAAAGGGAAAAACTGGACTTTATCCTGTTATTGCACTGAAATTGGATACATTATGAACCTATGGCTTTCAATACTATAAATAGTTAAATCAATATAGATGCATGAATATGTGTGTGTGTGTGTGTGTGTGTATTGTCTAGCTCTGTCCATTGAGAGGGCCTAAGACTAGTGATGCCTGTTAGCAATGAATACAGCTAGTGCCCACATTTTGGCTTCTAAATGCCATTTTCCACAACAGAGAACCATAGCTCCCTGGAGAAATGACTGATTCTAGGGCTGTGGCAGAGAAAATATAAGATGAACTTGAACATCTTGTTGTTCCAGAATGGTGGGGATAGATTAAAAGGACATAGAATCCAGCTTGGATTCCCTTTGGCCTTTAAATCTAGCTTGGATTCTATGGGTCCCCCTGTAAGCAGTAACAGTAATGATAGATAACAACCCATTAAAAAAATAGGAAATTAAGAGACCATATAACTATAAATAAATAAACCCAGATCTTTCAATAGCAGCACTGTTGACATGTAGACTGGATGATTCTTTGTTGTGGGTGATTGTCCCGTACATTGTAGGATACTTACCAGCATTGCTGGCCTCTAGTTACTAGATACCACTGCTTTAGACTGGTGCTGTCCGATAGAAATACTATGTGGGCCACATACGAAATTTTAGGTTTTCCACAGACCATAGTTGTTACAGTAAAAAATGTGTCTACATGTTGCCAAATGACCTCTGGGGAGCGAGAGTTCCCTAGTTTAGAGCCATGGGATACAAGAATAAATTCAAAGTTTGGTGGGGAATAGAATATTTAGATAGTGTCAAAATAAGCACCCCTCCCACACACACACAAAATACTTGTTAATTACAAAGGAAAAATGAATGAATTTAGAGTGGAGAAGCTACGCAGACTTAGATGATCAATGGGAAACATCATCAGGATGGGACAAAATGAAATCATGTGCCACCTGATAGAATGCAATGAGAAGAACACAGCATTTCTGTGTCAGTTCTGCCAAAGATGCATAACCTGATGTAATCAAGAGTAAACAGAAGAAAATCCACACTGAGGGACATAATATAAAATAATTTAGCCTGCAGTCCTCAAAATTGTCAAGGTCATAAAAATCAAGGAGAAACAAACCTTGAGATAAAAGGAGTCTGGGAAAAAAAAAAAACCAAAACCTACACGCAACATGTGATTCTGAGATTCTGAATTGGGTCCTTTTTCTATAAAATATTGGGACATTTGGCAAAACTTGAATGTGATCTGAGGGTTAGATGGTAATAATGTATTATGTTAATTTTTTTGAAAAAAATTATGGCTGTATTGTGGTCATGTAGGAGATTATTGGTAGGAAATATACCTAAAGTTTATGGGGCATCATGTCATCATTCTCAGATGGCTCAGGGGGCAGAAGAAGTCTTTGTGTACTGTGTCTGGAAATTTTCTGTTTGTTCTGGTTTAAAAAGACAAAACACAAAGGTTGTGGCCAAGCAATAATGAAAAGAATCCCCAAAACCAAACTCGGTGCCATTGAGTCGATTGCAACTCACAGCAACCCACTTTGGGTTTCTGAGGCAGTAAATGTTTATAGAAGTAGATTGCCCAGTCTTCCTTCTACAGAGTGGTTGGTAGGTTTGACCCACCAACCTTCTGGTTAGCAGTCAAATGCCTTAGGCACTGCCCCACCAGAGCTTCTTGAGAAAAATGTTTATCTTAATATCCCATTATGGAAAAAACTTAACAACCCAAAACTACTGAATTAACAGGGTGTTCTTTAGAAATAATATTGGAAAAAAATCTACATCTTTCTTAACTAATACATGTATATCATGCTGACCACACAGTGACGATTGAGAACCCAAAGTGGGAGGAAGGCCACTTTTTTTTATTTTTTGATCTTTGAGCATTTTCTTTCTTGATAGTTGGAAAAACTTATTTTAGCAACTTTCATCTTGTTCAGCAGATTAAATCTCCATGATAATGTTTGAAACTGACAAGCAAGATACATGAGCTTTGCAATGTCAACCAAAATATGTCTAAGAGAAATTGAGGAGAGATTTTACTCTTTTCAGCTGATAAAGTGTAGAAAACTTTCTATACTGACAGTGGACATAGGTAAAGTGATATGCTACCAACCTTCTTTTAGATGATATTTCTGCATTTATGATTTTTTTTTTTTTTTTAAAGCACAGGTAAGTAACTGGTTCTTCTCTACATTCTGGGCCATTTCTTCTGTCTGCCAGGTATTTGAGATGTATTGCTAAGGTTAGGCCTAAAGACCAGGGAGCCAAGCAAAGCTAACTGGCCTTTGTAATGTTTGATCCCATGACATTAATCTCATTAGCTCTAACTTGCTGTGCTAAGTGCACCACTAATTGCATGACTTTTCTTAATTTGGTTGAACATATAATAGATAGCCTTACATGAATCCTTGTTTTTATTTTTAACACATCAACCTGTGAAACTAATTTAGCAATTTACGGTATAGGTGTGGAAGTATAATTTGGTTCCATTTATTGACTGATTTTTTTTTTTTTTTTCCTTCTTTTACAGTCTCTCTATCCCATCTCACCCAACTGGTGCTCAGTCATAACAAGCTAACAAGTAAGTTTACTTTCTGAGTTGTTACACGGTGACTTTATAGTAATTTTATAACACTGCTGATTGTAGTGTTTGCTTTAAAGAAGCTAATTACAAATGGAAGTGTAAAACTTATTCTGGTGGCAGTAAGATGTTGTTATTGTTATTTGCCCTCGAGTCGGACCCGACTCATAGCGACCCCTCCTTGGGTTTCCGAGGCAGTATCACTACAGAAGTAGATTGCCCAACGTTCCTTCCGAGGAGTGGCTGGTGGGTTTGAACCACCAGCCTTCTGGTTAGCAGTCAAGTGCCTTAGGCACTACGATACATGAACATATTATCTTCTAGTATTTGGTACTTTGCTCTATTTTGGGGGATGTTTATTTTGGTGTATGTAACCTGAGGAGAGAAAATGGACTAATTTCTCTGGAAGTGGCTCAGTTTAGGGCTGGCAAACTCTATGGTGGCTAAAATGACTGTACCATTGATTCCTGTTTCATGAAAAATTTATAAAAAAATAAATAGTGGCGTAAGAGTTCTTTGTCTCATCTATATAAGGAGCCCTTGTGGTGCAGTTGTTAAGCACATGGCTGGTAACCAGAAGGTCAGTGGTTTGAACCCACCAGCTGGTCCATGGGAATAAGATGTGGCAGTCTGCTTCTGTAAAAGTTTACAGCCTTGGAAACCATTCTGGGCAGTTCTGCTCAACAATAGGGTCACAAGGAGTCAGAATTAACTTGATGGCAATGAGTTTTTTGGGTTTGTTTCATCTCTATTTTATCCTCATAAGGGGAACATTTAACTGTTGGATATGCTTCCCTTTCTCACTCAATAGGGTGAAAAAGGCTACAAAATTGTATAAATTATGTAAATTTACATCTGCAGTTTTCACATTTTGGAGTCCGACTTCTTGGGCATCGGTAATTTCATGATAAGATTAACATATAGTAGAATTAATATCTGTTTTCAATATAGTCCCTGAATGATATGGGCCATTTTAATCTTCGCGCTGTGGTTTTAAAGATTTTCATGGCAGGGACTCACTCTCCTTTCTCATTTCTAATTGACTGTCATCTTCTTTGTGTTGCCATATTTCCTGCAGACTTGAATAATTTTCTAATCATGTGGCAAGAATTTGTTAGGGAGCTTTCCGGATCCGGTGAAATTGAGCGAACGTCAGGTTGAGGGATTTGTGTCGTGAATTTATGTGTTTATGTGCATTATATACAGCTTGGAGCAATGTCACAGAGCTGTTGATTATTGAGACTTAAGAGTGGCAGTTAGAGCCCCTCGTGTGCAGGAGTCAGGCAGATTAGTTTGTTTTTAGCAGAAGTGCATATTAGTAAGGCAAAGACGCGGTGACACAATTGTCATGTTTGAATCCCAGTGGCCACAGAAGCTAAAGTGAGGACTACAACTCACGTGTGATCATTTCTGTAGCAGGTAATAGGCTGCTACTTTCATTGTTTTTGTAGCAAATGGTTATATAGTCCACAGAGACCCTAATCTCTGTTCAGAGGGGATTTGCAGCTTGTTTTGAAGGTTGGACGTCATCCTCAATGAATGATCCCTAAATGCCCCAAGATTTTGTGAGCAAAAGTTCCTGAAGCTTTGTACGTATAACTCATAAGCATCCTTCTTAATTGCTAAGCTTACAATTTTTCAATCTGAAGCATTATTAAAGTGATATGTTGTATGTTAACAAGAGAGCAAAGGAAGCTTTATTCTGTTATATTATTAATTCATCTCTCCTTTAAAACAATCTTTCAAATAGTGTGGTTTTATTGTTATTATTACATACTCAAAAAGATAGAAATCTCAGGGATCAGTGTATCAGTTTCTTTCTCTAAGGCTATAATATGATACTAAATTAGAGAAGTATAAATATGAAGTTAACTTGTGTCTGCTTTTAAAATGGTCAGTTCTGAAAGAATCCAAACTTCATATTTCTTCCTTCTATTTTATTTTTTTTCCCATTCGAGACACTCTTGACCTAATCCAGTAAACTCTAATTAATCGTCTTGGTAACTTCTGTTTCAAGCCATTTTGAGTACAGTGTCACTGACACTCGATCTGTTCCACTAAGGTCAAATTAGCATCTTTTACTATTTTTCTGGCATTTAAATGAATGGCTTTGCTATGGATTCTCAAGTGTTTATAGTAAATATGTCCATTTGATGGGAATATAAATATGCATTAAATGCAAGCGGCATAGCACACCCTCCTGTCACTTTTTATTGTAATCAGTGTCTTCCACTTTCCATTGTTTTTAATAGGGACCAGCTGACAATGCCACATTAAAACCACTGGGACTCAAAAAGATAAACCCCTCAGCCCTGCTTTTATCTTGGAAAAGCATTTGTGTTTTTTTTCTTTTCCAGTGCCAATTAACTGCTCTTTGACATTTTCACTTGTGTACTTAAGTGATGAATGACTGGGTTTCTCAAACTGGGATTCTGAGTTGGGGACAATCTTTGACTACACTTACTAAAGTTGGTAATATCTGCAGAGGACATCAGAAGAGTTAGATGCTATGTTGGTCTTCCCCTGCTGGTGGCTTTGACATTGACAGGTCAACTCAGTGCAGTATGAGTGAAATGACAGGGACACACAAGGCCTCAAGATTTTGTGAGCAGAAATTCTTGAAGCTTTCTATTCTGTAGTTCATAAAACCATTTCAAAATTGTCATGCTAATTACTGTTTCCCAAACCCTCATTGCTATTACACTGAAAGTACTGAAACTTAAATGTGAGTGATCAGGGCAGTGCTGGTGGGTTGTTGTAGTCAGCGGGGAACTGCTTCACCAGAATAGACTTGGCTGATACACGTATCCATGTCGCATTCAAGGAGAGCATTCAAGAGTAGCAAGTGAATCTTTTAATTCCGCTATTTTGCTGTGATTGAGCAAGTACTACCCTGGGAAGCCAGCAGAGGTTTTTTCTGGCCCAATGGGAATAGTTTCAGAGTTAAGGTGAGGATCTGCTGCTGGACCATCCCTTCATTAACACACTTTCCCTGTGCATCTGCCTGCAATGTTGTACATACCTGATTAAAAGTTCTCTCTGAATCTGACTTTCCAAACCTACCCTCTCTGGCCTTCCACCCCACGGCTAGCCTTTCTTCCCCACATACTGCTGGAAAAAGATGGATCGATCCTTTTTCCCTGTTTGTGGCCCTGCTCTTCACCTGTGCCCCATCCTTGGTATGCCTTCCCTCCTTCCCCAGCTCAGCAGCAGCCGTGCAGCCCTCTCGCCCCATCGTTCCCTCAAGGCTGCCCTGACTACTTTGGCCCACTTGAAGTCTCCTTCCCCAAACTCCAATTTAATGCTCCCTTGTCCTTCTGTCATTTCAGGGTTCTTCTTTCATGCCTACTAGATGTTTACTTTCCTTGAAAGCAGGAACCATTTCTTATTCTTCTTTAATACCTCTTGCTGAGCACATGGTCACTTCCCAGTAACTACTTACATAAATCCATAGTGGGTGGTGAAAGGAAGCAGGTAAGTGACTGGAGGGGCCAGACAAGAAATAGCTGGCCTGAGGTGAAATGATACACGTAGGAATAGGATGGGTTCTTCTGGTTTCACAGGTGTAGGAACTTGAGTAGATATAGCTATCGCACACTTGTTTTTCTTACTCATCATGTGCTCATTTCAAATGCACTGGATTGTGCACGCTCTAAATTTATGTCTGTATAAATTTAACATGAATTGATGTTGCTACTGTTTTCATAAAGTCATAGGGGTCTTTTCACAGTTAAGGAATGATGTGTGGGAGAGGTATTACTGAGGTACACTAAGGAATCTGTCGGTAGGGAAAACTGGCTTCAGGACCAACCAGTGGGTGCTTTTTTCCACTCAGAAACCCTCCTGGGCTCAGCTAAGCTCTCCCTGAGAGTCACTCTCCCAGAAAGACGCCTTTTGCTTCTCTAGGTCTCTTTGGTTTCTGGGTATGTTCCTCTTTCAGTTAAAGTTAGTTTTATATATTTAAGGCCCCACTGATGAATGATTTCACCACTTTCTTCATGCAATTATAATTCTTGAGGTTAGGAACCCTGTCTTAGGTTTGTTGTGTATCCTCCCCAAACAGAAATCCAAACCCATTGCCATTGAGTCAGTTCCAACTCATAGTGGCCCTATAGGACAGAGTGGATCTGCCGTATAGGTTTTCCTAGGCTGTAATCTTTACCAGAGTAGATCATGACGTCTTCTCTCCCATGGAGGGGCTGGTGTGTTGGAACCAACCTCCTTTTGGTTAGTGGACAGGAGCTGCACTGCTGCACCACCAGGGCTCCTATTGTGTATCCTACCCCCACAAAAGGGTCCATGAATAGGCTCTCAGGTAATACCTGTTGATTAGTGAATTGATTAGATGATGAGTTGTGTTAATTCTGAGCAGTCTGAGATGATCTGCACATGGACCCGCCCTCAGTGTTACTATAAGATGGGATTGTAGAAATTATTCCAAAGGCTGCCTTCCAGGCTCTCTCTTCCCTCTTCCTCCTGGTCCTGCCATTGTGGTTACCTTCCTTTTGAGTCAACATTGGCTTCACCTTTCTCAGTCTACTCCTTAATCTGATCATGTTTTGGAGGGTTAGCTTTGTAAATATTTTCTCTACTTGTTTTCACTGATAAAGAGGACTATTTATATACATATTTGAGACAACTATTTTAAGACTTGTCCACTAGAGGTCACTGTTGAGATACATTTTTTCCCCCCATTTCTTGTATCTAAAGGTTAAAAACCAACTTTGTTGCCAGACAAAATATTTTGCAGAATACTAAGCTCTGTACAACAGGGTACATTGTTATTGCAATTTACATAGTATTGTTTTCCCACGATTAAGATAGATCATTCTATAAGGAGGTATGGTGTTTTTCTGTTTTACTCCTAAAATTAAATTATACATTCTGTTTCACATACCATATTTTTAGTTTTGTTATGGCTACTTTCTCAAGTTAAACATCTTACTGTTTATAATTTAAAATGTGAAAGTTTGTGTGACCTCATATGGTATTTGGTAGTG